TTTTGGTATTCAATCAATCGAATGGTTTTGATTTTATTTGTGCAACAGGAAACAATTTGTAAATGTTAATAATATAAATTCTACATTATGCGATGTAACATGTGGAGTACCTCAAGGAAGTTTGCTTGGGCCTCTTTTATTTTAAATTATGTCAATGACTTACAGTCTTGTATAGACCATGAATGTAAAGTACTTGTATATGCTGATGATACTGCTATACTTTTTTCCCACAAAGATCCAGATGCTATTTTAAAAAAAAACTCTCTTGTATGTTAGAACTCTGTCAAGATTGGTTAGTAGACAATGAGCAATCTCTACATTTAGGTAAAACAGAGAGCATTTTATTTGGTACTCGACAAAAACTTGATAACTTTAATCTTGAATCTTTTTTCATTATTTTGTAATGAAGTCAGAATTGAGACAAAACATGTGTGAAATATTTGGCTGTCTTTCAGTTCTTTTTATTTCTTTTTGGAATGTTCATAGAGACCCTTCTATTGATGCTTACTATATAAAATGTTTGAATATTGATAAATCTCACTTCTAGGTATTAATATTTGAAAAACTGAAGCGGAACCACGATGGCGGTTGTTTCTGTCAACTCCGCCATTTTGCAAATCGGGGTATATGGGGGGCAGCCGGGCGATTGTTTAAACGAAACTGACATAAAGATAAAATAACTGTAAAAAAAACTTCTTTGGTTTGTCACGTATTATCACGTTGCAAGTGTATCAAATTAAAATTTAATTGCCGTTTCACTGCTTTAGTCTGACTTGGCTAAACACGATATATAATGTGTATAATGTGATAGACATGCTTTCTAAATCTCGAAATGAGATATAGGCGATAAGAACGTAATATTTTTTTTTAATTTCATGCAATCACACCTTCTAAATAGAAGACTGTTACCATTTTAAAGGTTGATTTTACGGACAGATGGCCTCTCGTTTATCGCAACGAGATCGTTTGCCGTCTATCTAATTTTTTTCACCTCTGAATTATTTAACATTGAAAAGGAAAATGTCTTCTACTGTACAGATCTATTTCGCTAATTGTGCACACATGAAGTCACAAGTTATTGTTCACATTATTATAAGATAAGTAAAGCCATTTAACGAAATTCTAAGTCAGCTATCAAACAATTATCAATGTTTAGAATTTTGTGTTAATCGAAGTGATGAGTTTAAAAATGACTTGTTTACGTCATTCTTATTTTAAAAAAAATTATTAATTAACAAAATACTTAAAGAATTTCATTCATCTAAGTAAGCAAGGGTATCAAACCTCTTCAAGAAAATTAAGTTTTTATAAATATTACATTTAAATAATGCCACATAGCAACAAACAAACGACATTAGATGATATTAGATAAGTATTAGATAATTTAGCAAATAGATAGCTATTTAATTAGGTGATAACTTATTTGGGCCATACATTGCCTTTTTTAAAAAGGTCATTTAAATTTATGTATGATACATACAAATAGCAACAAAAGAACAAAAACATTAAAGCAAGAAGTTTTTTTTTTTCAAATTAGGATGACTAAGAGGATATAGAGATAACGAACTGTATTCAATCTCAAAGTCCACAAAACAATACAAAATAAGAGCAGGGAAAACACGGACCTCCGAAGCATCAGAGGTGGGATCATGTGCCATGGAGGAGTAAGCATCTCATGCATTGTAACAAACCATTTTTGCATGTTGACTAAGAAGGCAGTATCTGACTTCATTAAGGGAGTTATCAATGGAAGTCTTTATTCATAAATAGTACAATATATAGAAAGATATGACGATTATCATTAAAATAAAAGCTAAACGACATCTATTTCAAATTTCTTATGAGCTATTGGATTTATACCAAAACTGGAAAACTGGGAATCTGACGATTACATTTTATTCAGTTGTATAGGATATATGCAGGATAGTTGCGAGTAAGATATAAACATCCTTCAAAATTATAAAATATGTTTTCACTCGCCATTTTTTCATTATGTATTGAAATTGCCCAAATTTCAACCCTCTAATGAAACCACTTTTAGAAGTAGTCCCACAGTAAAATTACATTTTTTTACATGAACATTTCCGAAAAAACCCCTTTATTTATAAAAAAAATGACTCAAGTGGCCTTAGCCTTTTTTTTTTCTTTTACACAAAACAAGTGTCCGACCAAAAAAAAAAAAAAACAGGTCACATTGCTGTGAAAGAATTATTACATTTTATTCAGTGGTGTAGAAAGAAGGATATGGAGATAACGAACGGTATTCAATCTCAAAGTCAATTAAACAATATACAAAATAAGAGCAGAGCAAACACGGACTTCCAAAACATTAGAGGTGGGATCAGGTGCCATGGAGGATTGAGCATCCCCTCGGATGAGAGATGGGTACTTTTAAAAATTTTAGCCTCAAACTTTTTGGGGGCTAGATATATATATAGTATCATACCTGTAACTATGTGTTAAAATAAATTGAATAACCCTTCTTATTATATACCCATCAATTTCCTTGTTTTTTTTTTAATGTTAATTTTACAGAGTTTGATCGGATCACCAGACTGTGGTTTTCTGAAACCATATCACGTCTCTCTGAAACTGATGACGTAGTACGTTAAAACATGACGTTATTTTTCTTGCGCGTTAAAAGGCCTTGTTATTATGCATTGTTTTATGGATAAATATTATACAATTGATCTCTAAAGTTTTATTCTGCTATATTTAGCTAGTTATAAGGGGGTATATAATAAATTTATCATTATAACAGTAACTTGATCCGAAGAGCCGTATCACATCTCGCTGACAGGCGCGGATCATAAAAGCAAGCTCGACGCTTCGCGTCTCGTTAGATCTGATAATCTGCGCCTGCCAACTCGACGTGATGCGACCCTTTGGATCAAGTTACTGTTATAATAATATATATTTGTTCAAACCATTTTTTGCACAGCATTATGATCCAATTCTTCTGTTTTCATTTTTCAACATTTTTTTACTATGAATAATATGCATTTTAAAATCACTATTTTATCCGTCGGGAAATTTATTTTGTTTTTTTTTTTTTACGAGCTGCAACAATATCTGCTAAATTGTGAAAGAAATTTGTTGGCTTCTGAAGTTTTCATTACGACGTTCAACGTTTGTGACGTCAAAGGTTTACATATATTTGAAACTTTTGACCCCCTGTCCGTGTTATGGTGTTTTGTATTCGAAAAATACAATAGAATGTAAATATTTTTGTTAAAATAAAAATATCCATGTTTTGTTGTGAGAAACCCCTGATACGAGGGTCTATCCAAAATTTCATGGGATTTCTTTCAAACATTTTATTGAGACTTGATGAAACCAAGCATTAGATCTAGACATATTTATTTAATGGAGCCGATATTCAACAATACTTGAGATTTCCACTTGTTTCCAATTACCCTTGTAAAATCCAGAGATTTCCAAGTTACGTCAATTTAGGTATGTGTCGTCACGTTAAAGGAGCAATTCGTCCTCACAATCTGCAGATAACTGTCCTTTCACTTCATTTCTATTCCGAAGAATAACCTAAGTCTTCTCCAGCATCTTTTAATTTTCATATTATAATGATTTTTCAAAATATTCACCGTCTTTCCATTGATTGTTTCGTTAACAGATGCAATGTTATACAATGTACATGTAAACTAGTGGTCCTCGTCCATTAACAGTTAATTTGTGTACTGGAAAAATGACCTCATAAAAGGCGGTTGTACTTTTCATCAACCTTCATGGTTTTTTTCCCTTAATTTCTCACGCCAATGGAAATTCGATTGCTACCATCATTTTTTAGTTTGTATCAGTATTATACTGTTGCGTTTAAATCAGTGTTGTAGTACCTGGCATTCCCGATATTTTAGAAAAACTTTAACTTGATCGAATTTTTACAGTGTCTTACAATGTCACCATTAACAACAAATCAAAAAATCATCCATTAAAAACTAAATATAACCAATAAAACTCATTTAGTCCTACAGAGTTTTATGTGAGATCATCATTTTCATTTTGTATACCACTTAATGCGTTGTCTTCACTTTTACAATCAAGGGTACGTAACTTAAACTAAAAAAAGATGCAAAGCTTGATATACATTTTTTGACTGATTATGATTTGAATTGACATAAATAACAAATCCCTCAAGCATAAAGAAATCGTAGGTTTTCCTTGATGATTAGATATGAAACTTTGTTTTACTTTCTATTTAATTCCATACAAATTTTTTTTAACCTAATGACAAAATCTTACACAATATTCCCGCTATGTTTGTTAAATGTAATGCAGGTTACAGATTTTAATGTAAACCTTTGAGAAATGTTGCTGAGTTATGAAAACAAATTCCGTTATTTTTCCTTAACAGTTGAAATTAAAACAATAATCAACGAGTACATATTTCCCCTGCGTTTCCAAACATCCATTGTTAATGAACTTTACTATCAGTAATATTTAAATACTTATTACAATGTATTATTATTATTATTATTATAATAAAATTTAAAATGTGTTTATTTTTGTTATTTTCAATCAGTGTCACTAATAGATAAATAAAATATGTAAAAATTTCCAAACTTCTGATTCAATCCTTGTATGTATACGATCTATAGATTGGATGTGTACAACGGCACTATGTTTCAAGCTTCTGTGAAATTTCATTACATTTCATTCAGTGTTATAAAAGTTGATGTGAATTAGAGATGGGTTCCCCAAATCTTAACAAACGGACGTACAGAAGGACGAATGGACGGGCATCATGATTATACGGATATCATTTAAAATATGATCAAATCTATTATTTTCATTTTTAGACCAATCAAAGATCCAGTCATTCTTGTTCTAAAATCGATCTTCCAGAGATAGTTAAATACGTAACAATCAGCCAATCACTGGTACGCAATGCATTGAGGCTTTGATATTAATACCCGCTAGCTGAACGTTTGGCATGCAATTTCTTTACAGAAACCGTACAAGTGGTGTAATACACAAAGAACAAGATGAGCTACCTCTGGGCTGTCGTTTTAATCGCCGCCTACTTTACGGTGCCTCTCACTGCGATGTTTTCTCGGAGGTACGTTAGAAACATGGACTGTGATGATAAAAAGTCAGAACACGATATTTTAGGAGAGTATTATATATCATTTAAAGACTGCGCTGAGAAGTGTCGGGGAGATTGTGGCGTGTTTGGGTATAAAGAAGGATTGAAGAAGTGCCGGCTTCACAGGAAACTCCACAAGTCGTCAGCTACAGATGAGGAGGGCTGGAAATACTTCTTTCATGATTGTATGTATAACTTTATGTAGATATTGGATACGTGATTGTAGGTATAACCTTATATACTTGTCAAAATTTCTAAGTCCCCACTTTTATTTTTTCTAAAAGTTCAAAACCTTAACATCAATGTACTAGTTACTTATAATTTTTCCGTTAATTTGCAATTCTTACCTGTCAAAGCCAAAAAATTGTAATCGTATGTGTAATTACTCGACCGTGACCGTTTTTGTTAAAAAGTATGAAGTTCGAGTTAAATATATTTTTCGGGTGTATTCTTCATATTTTTACTTCCATGTGTTCTCCATCTTTAATTGATAACGAAAAACACAAAAGAGTTTTATTAAAATGTGGTGTATGTCCACACAACAATGTGGAAGTAAAGTTGAAATTGCCCAAGCTGGTCATAGTTAACAAAAGTTCTGTTTCCTTTCACTGTATGACTTTATTTTACTTAAAACCTTTATAATCACCTCCCGAAAAAAAACCTACAAAGCATACCTAAATTCCTTTTAATCATTAGAAATTGCTAGATTTTCAATAAACACAACAAAATCATCCTAAAGTTTATCCGGAAAAACCAATGGAACCGGAACCGGAAGTGCCCTCCCTTCAAGGTCAAACTGGAGGAGTGGAGAATACATGTAATGAAACATTATGTAACTATTGTAGGCAAGGCACATGCACTTTCGGTAATTCCTCTTGTCATCTTAATCTCAACCCTAACTTACATGTATGGAAGAAGATAGACGGGTTTGTGAGACAGCTTTTCCAAGCAGAACTAGAAGACGACCTAGTCTCCACATGGAAAACCATTCAATAAAAGATTTTTTCTTAAATAGTGTGAACACTTTGAGGAATGGTTGTCTTGCTTTGAGTTCGTTTGAATCGAGGATAATGCAGCATTTAACGTTGTGAATTTTTAATTCTAGGGTGTCTTAACGTTTCTGCATATTGTGTTAAAGTGCTTCAATGGAATAAGTTAAGTTCGAAAAATTGTTTTGCTACTTTTTGTTTTATCCTGTATACTTATTAAATTATACTGTTAAAATAATTCAATATAAGAGCGGTGTAACGTAAAAACTTACCTGGGGACTTGAAATTTTGACTAGTATATATATATGAAGATTGTTTGGGGAATAAAAAAATATGGGGATACCAAACAGTATTCATACTCAAAATTCCATTCAAACAAAACACATCAAAAAGCAGATCAAATTATGACCTCTAAATCAGAAGTGGGATCAGGTGCCATGGAAGAGTTAGAAATTCTATGTGTAATAAATGGCTTTTATAAATCCGTGAAAGTGCATGAAAGAGATCATTGGCTATAGCTGTATAGGTGGAAACGTTTTTTTACAGCAAATATTTCCTCTTCAATATAAAAAAAATCAATTTACTGTATTATTTTTTCGTGTCTCAGATTAAACCATTTCCCCTATTAAATTAAAATTGAATTCTTATTACTCTGCTTGAAATTGATATTTGTTTTTGCATTTATTCTGCTTTATATATAGATTTGTTTTTGTTGACATGAGTATTGGATAATAATATTTTGAACTCTAAACTAATAAAAAAAAACTATACGTTAAATCAAAGTATAGCTCAGAGCAAATTTTTAAGCGGAGACTTTGATGTGAAAGAAAATTATAAATCATATGATTTAAGATTTCTCCCAGTGCACATTCGATTTTCTTCAAATAGTTTTTAAAAAATATTTTTGTTGAATAATTTTGACTAGGCAATGAATAGTCAGTGATTTTGTTTTCTTTTCTAGATTTCCCATATTTTCCTTAAAATATCATTCATTGGAATTATCAACGTTGAGGAAACCTATAGTACACGTATTACTTTGTGAATGTAAATCCAGTTTTTGTTTGGTTAATTTTTTTTCTCATTAAGATGAATTCCAGAACTAGAGGATAAAATCTTAAAATTGACAAAACGTTTTCAATTAATACGGGAGCAGAATATCCAAAACAGTGATAAAACATTACAAGGCTTGTGTATGCTTATAATGGCAACTCTCTTTTGCTTCTGTGAGTTCAATGCTACTGTCAGAAAAAAAAGTTAACTGACTTTAAATGCTCATGTCATAAAAAACATTGACGACCATTCGATTGCTTGTAAGGCAGTATTTATAGTAAAATTGAAATTTTACAGCTTAAGTATCTTGAGACAGGCAATTATTATTCTACCACCGCTTGAAAAGCGGAGTGGTATATAGTAATCGGGATGTCCGTCCATCGGTCTAGCTGTCCGTTCGTCTGTGTCAATTCCTTCTCGAGTATCCATCTTTAATCATCAACTCTTTTTATATTACCGAATGAAATTTACTGAAACTTTCAAAGAATCTTTGTTACATACTGACATTGTGCTCATCTTTATTTACTTTTTGAATGAACATCTATTTCGTGTTTACTATAACAAACATTGAAACTGCCATTCTTGATATTGAAGGGTACTCCTATCTTATCCAAAACTCCTCCTATACCACAGGATAAATAAAATGATGTTATCACAGATCTTTAGTACAAAATTTTGCAATACTTATTTCTTCCTGAATTTGACACTTTGTCGTGTCTCCAAGAGCAAAACATGTACTTCACCATTAAAATCAAATGGGGGTAGGGGTGGGGGCGCTATCATTTAGTGATCTCAGTGCTCACAGTACCTCTAGTTGTAGTACTGCTCAACAAAAGATTTCAAATAATACATATATAATATTAATATCTTACCATACAAAATGTATAGATATATATTTATCACAATTATGAAATTGTTTATTTTTCATGCACTTCTTTGTTATTCTCTTAACGTTGTGCTCCATATTTCCATTATATATTGTGTTCTGTCTATTTTTTCTATTATTTACTAGTCCTAAGAATTTTTATTGTACGACTATGTCAGTTAGACTTAGGTCAATACGAATGTTTTAAGTACGAGTTAATCTTATGTGTTTATGCCGCCATAGGTGGCAGAGGATAGTTTCGAATAATATACCGGTCAAAAAATAGAAAAAATAGAGAAACCTGAGGTTTGAATGCATATGATAGGTAATTTTATAGCTAGAATATTTTATGGGTGCATTTGGAGGGAATTGGTGGCCTTGTATATTTTTTTGAAATATGACACTTTAGTGTCACTACTACTGTATATGGGATATGGACTAGAAATACGAAACTAAGCTTAAAACTCGCTCTACCGGTATTTCACCAGAAAAGCGGGCTGGGTTCACAGGATGAATTGTAGCTTGAAAACGAGGTGGTTGAGCCATTATCTCTTGCTGTTCATTTGTATGTACAAATGTTACTCTGCAATTTGTGTGGTAGCTTAGATCAGGCGCACGGGCCTGGAAGCAGATGCGGCTGCGGCGAAATAGTGAAAATAGGCTTGATTCACTTGAAAATTTGAGATTGTCCCTGCGCCATCTTTAGGGCTCATTGTGTAAGTTGTACATGCTTTATTCCTAAAAGCTTCAAATTTCTCAAGGGACTACATCATACTATTATTACATGTAGAGGGAATTTAGAATTTTTCAATGCACATTTTTAAAGCAGCTCAATATTAAGTAAACCGTCAGTCAAACGTTTTGATTGCAAAAAAAACTATCCTCAGCCACCTTCAAGAATGCATCAATTTTTAGAAATGTGAATTTTAGTCTGATTTTTATATAAAAGGGTTTATTTATGTAAGTCAATTTAAAAATGAATACTTTGTTTCTGTTATTTAAAATCTGTACAGTTATGTATATTCTCTAAAAAGCAAGGGGGATTACTCTTTTCCAGCATACATTTTTAAAGACTTTGAACCATCAGCATAATAAATCATATTAGATTCAGGCATTTTATTGCCAGAGAATAATTTAATTGTTTGAATTTGATACTTTGGGTATTGTCGCATAAATAGAATCATGTCTTGCTTCAATTAATTAAATCTAATTAAAATTTAAGTGTATTATTTAGTGCGATATCACTGAAATTACATATATTTGCCATTTTTTCAAGCTGATTTACTAAATATAATCATTTTGAAAAAAAAATCAGTCAGCATACCTAAATGTCACTAAACCTAACCATATATAGTACAAAAAACTTTTTTTGCTTAACTTTTCCAAATTTAACCTTTTCTGTTATTGATATTTTCATGAAATATGCCCCCCTTTTCAATTTTTAAATTCATCTATATTTAAATGTGACAAAATCTAAATTTTTCAATGGTTTGCTATAAAATGACTATTTTTCTTTGAATAATAACAAAACAAAGAGTTTATATTGCATATTTTATGAAGTAATATCAATAAAATGTGCATTCTCATGTAATTATTGAATTCTGCTAGGCCCATATAATACGCCCACAATTGCCCAGGATGGACAGAATAATCACTTTTAATATTCAGGAGAATGAAATGTATGTATTTGATTACTCATAACTGTTAAAAGTGAATATCAGACACTTAGAAAGAATTCAGCTAGGACAAACAAATTTTTACAGTACATTTTCATTACACTGAAGAAATGGTTGCAGGGGTAGGGTGTTGAACAGCCATTTCCTGGACACTTTTTCTTTAGCATATGATGCAAGAGGGTTTTTTTGCATATCATGATAAATATCTTGAAAGTTGAAAGGGTTTTAACTTTGCAAAGAAGTTATAGGTATATAAAACCAAGTGAAAAAGAGATAAAATAGAATTTCATAAAACATGAAAAATAGGGGAGTATGTGATACATGTGAGTACATTTCACCAAGATGTGCCCTTTATATTTGACTTTTTACATATAAATGTATTTGAAATAGAATAAAATTACCATTTAACACTTTTTTACTGGTATATTTATCATCTGGAGTTGTAAGAATTGCATTTGTTTTATGTGTAAAAAAACCATATGGGGTTAAGGTGGTTGACCGAGAATTGGTGAGGTCTCTTATCCGGCCATAACTTTTTTATTTTTCAATGAATCAAGACATATTTGGTATATTTTTACTCAGAATAGCATGTTCTTTTTGAATTAAGCAAGGTTTACTTGCAAGATAAACTTTGAAAGTCAAAGGTGGCAGAGGATAGTTTCGAATAAAGTACCGGTTGAAAAATAGAAAAAATAGAGAAACCTGAGGTTTGAATGCATATGATAGGTAATTTTATAGCTAGAATATTTTATGGGTGCATTTGGAGGGAATTGGTGGCCTTGTATATTTTATTGAAATATGACACTTTAGTGTCACTACTACTGTATATGGGATATGGACTAGAAATACGAAACTAAGCTTAAAACTCGCTCTACCGGTATTTCACCAGAAAAGCGGGGTGGGTTCACAGGATGAATTGTAGCTTGAAAACGAGGTGGTTGAGCCATTTTCTCTTGCTGTTCATTGGTATGTACAAATGTTATTCTGCAATTTGTGTGGTAGCTTAGATCAGGCGCACGGGCCTGGAATCAGATGCGGCTTCGGCGAAATAGTGAAAATTGGCTTGATTCACTTGAAATTTTGAGATTGTCCCTGCGCCATCTTTAGGGCTCATTGTGTAAGTTGTACATGCTTTATTCCTAAAAGCTTCAAATTTCTCAAGGGACTACATCATACTATTATTACATGTAGAGGGAATTTAGAATTTTTCAATGCACATTTTAAAAGCAGCTCAATATTAAGTAAACCGTCAGTCAAACGTTTTGATTGGAAAAAAAACTATCCTCTGCCACCCATACTGCTCGGCAAGTTAATTTTTCTACCTGTCAAACGCCTGTTATTCACGGTGTAAGTAGTTTAAAGTCTTGTTTATCCTTTAGATCATATCATCGCTTGATTGTGTGTTTAATGTGGACTGTGCATATTTACGCAGTTCTGCATAATTTACAAATAATATTTTGCCATGTGCTTAGAGTATGGTGCGCTATTTATGTCATCGTTTGAAGTCATTAACTAACAAGTCTGTATTTGTCTTAAAGATATATTTTATGAAAGAAATTTGATATTAATGATAAAGTTACAATTAGTTTATGATATTTAGAGATTATACTTCTCTGTGTAATTTGTTTATATTACATGAATCCTGTTTTGAGAAATTTTTGTATGGAAAGCAGTACCTGTCATTACTTACTATGGTATTTTATTCTATTGTAGCTTTTTACCACACACATCACACATGGTGATACGCATTTGTGCACATGCATAATTGCACTGGGTTATCTATCTGTCAAATAAAACTTTCTAACGGATCTGAAAGACTTCTTATTGTGGCAAAATATATTGTATTTCAATTTTGTGTTTAAAGTGGTATAAAGGCCCGATGGGCCGGGTGTTGATTGTTATTTTATACAGTCTGTAAACAAAAGAATTTAATTGTACACATGTCACTATAAATAAATAAATTACTTACTTACTTACTTATTACACGGGTTTTTAGACACCATTGTTTAAGATTTAACAATATTTTTTGTTTCAATTTTTTTTAAAGGATGCTTTCTTGATCGAGAATTTTTTTTTCGAATAATAAATATCCCGTAGTCATTTACATATTACCCATAAAAATTGATTGTATTTGTTGATGAAAATTTTTGAATTAAAATAGATAAGACAAATCGATACAACATAATAACAAATTCATTTTGAATAAGAAAAAATGTTTGCACTTGCACTATCATGAGTAAATGTTTCCTCATATTTATTTTTGGTTCATGTTTATTCACAATCAGTTACAATTAATTAATTCCCGAGTAAGATTAGAAAAACATAATTTTTTTGTCTTTGGTATCTTTTTATTTCTGAACGGATTTTTGTGAGCCTCTTTCTTGTAGTATACCGGTAAAATGATTTCCTTGATTTTTTCGTTTCAGTTCTCCCTAGAGATTGTAAGGATCTTCACGATAACGACTACACATATACAGGGGTGTACGACATCTACCCCTTTGGAGTCAGCTCTATTCCTGTCAAGGTGTTCTGTGACATGACAACAATAGGAGGGGGATGGACGGTGTGTTGTTTGTTTATACAGCTTTATAAATGGTGTATACACTACACTCTAATTTGATTAAAATTTGATATTCCAGAGGAGATGGGTATTTTGTATCAACCAGTACTTTGTTTGAAATTTGACTTATTAATCTGGGGTTGGGACTTTAGTTTCAACTGTACAATAAATTAGATTGGATTTCTTATTCAGAGAGAAAGAGAGAAAGAAGGAGAAAGAAGGAGCATATCTTTATAGTATACTCTGAAATTTGATTGAGATATAGTTTGTTAATTTGGCAATTAAAGTAAAATATGCAAATTTAATTAAATTTATATTTGATATTCTTCAGGGTTGGAGTACATGATAATTTAATTAATTTCTTACTAAGGGGATAGGAAAGAGATAAGAAGCCTTTTCCCCTTTAAAGCTCTAATGAAAATATGTCTTAATTTTCAAAATAATTCAACTGTTATTTATCTTTTCAAGGCAATTCAAAAACGGATGGATGGATACGTGAACTTTGATAGGAACTGGATAGATTATAAAAATGGATTTGGTTCATCGGAAGCGGAAGTCTGGATTGGTAAAAGTGATCTATGATTCCGTTCAAAATAAGAACAAACAGTAAAAAAAATAGTTTAAAAATAGTTACTAATGAAGGGTTAGGATTTAAAACTAGATGACACGTACATGTACTGTAAAACGAGAAAAATTGGCGCATACATATTTTTGCGCAAACGCAAGTGGGAATGCATTGGCGTAAATAAGTTTAAGCGCTTGCATTTGTCAGTAAAATATTTATATGTGACATTTTTTTTAATTCGCACCCGTATTTGACTTTTTGGATAGTCAAGCACGGAAACACATTAGTTGTCAGGTATATCAGTAAACATTCGTTATTTTTACCGTGGTACGTGTTGCTATCACATGGATGTGGTACAATGTTAAAATTTATTTTATTTCTATTTTCAATTAAAAGAAATGGAGTATTTACTGACTTAAATAACATTAAAACAATGCATGCATCGACAGAAAATTACTTAGATAAAACGGTAATCCAAATCAGGTTTTGTCTGCAAGTTCAATCGCCATGCGCCACGCAATGTTTACCTCGAGGCGATAGATGGTTGGCACACCGAGAAGCCAAACTTTGAATGTGCTAATGATAATAATCGGGTAACAACTACCGGGGTAACAGTACTTTAATCAAATTATAATTTGGAAGAACTTTCTGTCTTCCGGACATGTGCATTGCTAGTGTGTATATAAAATCCAATCACCCTTCGACATTACGTAATCTCGCGTTCCGGTTTACGTGTACTTCTGTAAAAACTTTGAACACACACAAAAATGATATTTAGAAATCCTTTAGCGCAAAATCAATTTTAGCGCTCAACGGCTCTTGCGCAAAAGACGCTAAAATTAGTAGTGCGCTAATTATTCTTGTTTTACAGTATTGAAATGTACCGGTGATTTCTTTTGACTGTGTATTGTTGATTTCCTAAATAAAATTTTGTAGTTCACCAATTTTTGAAACAACTAAGATACGAATTTGATATATTAAACAGGGATATATAAATAGTGACTACATTCACTTTTATTTACTTATATTTTCTTTAAAAAACCGAAAAAATTTTCTAAAGCTGATTTAGTTCATGTTAAATAAAAATGATTTTAAGAACATTAAGACTAAGAAAATCATGCTTAAGAGAAAAGCAAGAAGTTTTTTAATTGACTATATTCTGTTTTAAATATTGAAAATGAATGTTGTGTTTGATATATTTCTTTTCAAATAACTTACTCAATAATTTTTTTTTATTTTACTAACGTAATTCTTCTGTTGGTGTGTTTGCAAAATTTGAATAATTGATTGATTTCTATATATCTTAATACAGGGCATGACGTAATCCATCAATTAACCAAAGAAAACACCTCATCCCTGTATGTAACAATTACTCTACAGAATGGTACAACGCTGTATGAAATGTACGACGGATTCTCTGTCTCTGACGAAGCAGGAAAATATCAACTGTTTCTTGCAGGACCTGCCACGGGGACCTTAGGTAAGGGTATTCAATTAAACTTCTTAAAACTCGATAAAAATTACGTATTTAAAAAATAAGGTAACATTTTAAACATTTGTCGGGATATAAATACGGGTTGGGCACGAGATAAAATTCCATAAGGCCCGAAGGACCTTATGATGAATTAAACTCTTACCAACCCATATTTATTGCCCGATAGATGTTTTAAAATTATATCTTATTACTTATATTTACATTTGTGACTTATTCATACTTTAAAGAATGTTTCCACTTAAGCATAGTGCCATGGTCCCTTTTTCGGACTCCTCTAACTTCATCTGATTAACTCAAAAGTTAATTATTTTACACCAAACTCATACTTTGTTATCTTTGTGGTATATTACTTGCAAAAATTCACAATGAAAACGGCGTCTTAGTTTTATAAATTGTAATTTAAAAAGCCATATACTTCGTGTTAATTCCGGAATATTGCGCTTGTCCGAGTTGGGTTTTAATTGTGTCACATTAATATTCAGTGTAGGCGGAGCATTTCATCGATCGATTGAAAACATGTCATGTTAAGCCAGTTTTTATGGCTTTTGGAATTTAATACAAAATACAAACTGTATACAGAAAAATAAACACAAGGAATTTTTCAAGGATTAGGACTTTTTTTTTTCGAAAGATGGTACTGAGGGAGGATCTTTGAGATGGATACGATCCCTATAAATCAAGATCCCCCATCTTAAGGTCGTTTCTCGGTGGAAAATTAACACTAAATTAAATAAACTGAGCCTACTTTTATCTGAAAAAGGGGAAAATCATATTTAAGAAAAACTTCTATATTTTTTAAAAGGTTAGTACCGTATTGCAATTTTAAACCTCTCTCTCTCTCTCTCTCTCTCTCTCTCTCTCTCTCTCTCTCTCTCTCCGTACTTTTTAAAGTACAGTAAATACCCCCTACTTCTCACAAATAATGGTGTACGGAATATTTTTTGGTGATGCTGTATGTGGTAATATTTTATCTTTAAAACAAATTTATTAATTGTATGTGCGATTGTTTTTTTTTTGTTTATTTGTTTATTTATTTATTTTTTTTTTTTGTGGTGGTTGTGGTGATGTGTGTGTGTGTGTGTGTGGGGGTGGGGGGGGGGTTACAGTAAGAATTCCATGCCAGTGTTAAACAATCAACATATTCTACCCCGTGTCCTTATATTTTTACAGTCAAAAACACTTTGAGGAATGATGCTACTTCAAAGATGGGAGCTAAATCTTTGAAACTAGTTTAGCCTCTAAACGTGCCCCTTAAATCCAAGGACTAAAAATAAAATGCCGGTACATTTTTTTTCCAATTTAATATTCCAGCACCCTATTAAAACACTTGACAAAGAAAGAAATACTTCTATGTTGATTGATTGAAAATGTACATGTAACGGTCTAAGTTGGACGCGTTTCGACGGAATCTACAACCACGTGGTTTATCGATTTTTTGTATTCACAATGTTACCTGAGACTACAAATCACGTGGTTATTTGGAATATTAAACAGCTCACAATGAGGTCAATGACATGTAAATACCCGTAAACAGTGAAGAAAACTGTCGGCGTTTTGTACCTTTTTTCAAAAGGTTTACCCCGAGCGCAGGCTTGCCCAAAAGTCTCCCTTAAATATGTTGAATTTCCAAAAGTTCTACACCTTCTGTCCTTTTGAGAAATTTAGGCAAGCATGTGCTCACTATGTATTCCAGCTATAAAAATCGGAATAACTTTGAATAGCAATGGAGATTCGTGATTTGCAATGATCCCTCTTACAAAACACAGTCTCGTTCTTCAATATTACTCAGTTTTTATGTCTGTAATTTTGCAAAGTTGCGATCTAGACCTTGAAAAATTGTTTTATTAATTTCATTAGGCTACTTTCCATACCTTATATTTGCGCAATTTACAGGGGGCCACGTTTAGTACACTAAGTGCAATGATTCTTTGCCTGATTGTGACTTTAAACGTGTGAAATGCATTATTTTTCATACCCAGAGATAATACTTTCCTTGTTTTACAAAAGAAGTCGTAATAAAAACAACAATCGATTAATATAAGATTAAGAATAAGGCCTCTTCAGGAATAATGATGGTTGAAGTGTGTAAACAGTATATACATGTAGACAAGCATGTCCGCGGGAAATCATAGACAGCGAACATAAATGAAAGTTTAATATTATAGAGTTATTGAAATTATATAGGTGAATATTGGCACGAGTTGGCTGTTCAAATGCACGAGCTTGCCAATATTCATCAATTTAAGTTCAATAACTCCTTTACTATCTAGCTAAAACATTCCCACTTCAGTTTCAGTTTTAATAATGTTATTAACATTATTGTCATAACTTTTATTAGTAAACAAAATATATAAATTTCAAGCTGTATTTCCAATGACGCAAGATATAGCGTAGATAACTTAAAATAGATACTTTCTCTCTTTACAGCATGCAAATCCATCTGTCTTAATGAACCTTAGTATTATTATCGACTAGATTGATTAAGAAATAAACAACGTTATTCAGTGAACATGGCGTTATGAATAGCAATTGCTCTGCTGGCATATTCCATGATGCGCGCTAGCGCATCATGGAAAATATGCCAGCAGAGCTATTGCTATTCATAATGCCATGTTCACTGAATAATCGTTGTTTATTACTTATATTTGCATTCTTTGATTTTTTTCAAGAATATCAGAGGAAATCCTAACTTACATAAGGATGCGGCTTCATGTCTTCAGTAAAGAAAAACATACGGCTTTAAAATCAGTACACCTGATCAATGCTCCTTTTCTCTGATAAATCACAAACAATTTTTAAAGTATTTCCCTCTCAAACACAGTTATCTGGATACAAGCAGCGCCGTCATCACATTCTCTTAATTTTTGTTTTGATGCAGTTGTGACGTCATCGATCAACGTTATTGAAACCCTCTGACAAAAATCAATAATTTAACGCTATGATGAAAAATGAGAATGCTTCCATAATGATTATTACTCCAGAGTGCTTTTCTATGATTTTTTTTTTTAGTTTTTCTATTTATTTTTAATAGCTGAAATCATTTTTGAAATAGAATTTTCTCATTCTGAATGTTATTACCCAAGTGTGAAGAGTTATCGTTCTTTGCACAAATATGCATGATACGAAAAAATAAAAATTTGGCAGTTCTCTAAAATTTTTAAGAATTTTATTATACAATTAAATACAATGACCAAAATTAAATTTTTAAAGATATAAATCAGCAATTTTAAATATTCTGAATTTCTTTTTTTTTCAAAGAATATAATTAAAAACTTATATTTATACCTCTCATGAAACATTTCATATATATACTTCTGAACACTATACATAAGTCTAGCAGAGGTTGATCTATACGAGTGCGATAGAGCAATTGCACTTATAGCAGTAGCAGTTGCGTCTATAATCCTATGAATGCAGTTGATGTCGACATGTTCAAAGTGGGAGAGTGCAGTGGATATGCAAATATATATATATGAATCCATTACCTCTATGATATATTTCCTGTCCATCTATAGGAGAAGTATGTTAGACACAGGTTATCCTTACCACGATCTGTCTGGGATGTACTTCTCCACCCACGACAGGGACAATGACAGATCTAGTAGTAACTGTGCTGCTCTCAGTAACCGTAGAGGAGGCTGGTGGTTTAATGCCTGTCATCGCGCCTTCCTTAACGGTGTGTGGTCCTCAGAGTCCTGGCACTGGCCATGGGATCCCACAGTAACGAGTGGGACATCAGTGAAGGGGACCACCATGATGGTCAGACGTCATTAGGTAAACCTCATTAAATCTAAATAACCAGATTGTTTTTCTTTTTGTATTTCCGTAAAAATTTCTAATGGTTCTCAAAGGGTTTTTGTTTTCTTTTTCTAAGAAAAATATACTTTTATTTCTTTAAAGCATTAGTTTGATTATTATTTTTTCCCCAATTTTTTACAGATGACCGACCACCCATCAATCAGAAAAATCGTTTATGATAAAGTAGATGGTTTTGAATTAATCTTCATCACGAGGTCCTTTTTTTAAAAATAATGTTTGACATGTAGTGAGAACACTTGCAACCAAAAAAATGGTTTCAATAAAGGCGGTGCACTATTTGTAAAACCAATATGTTATTGTATTTTTTACTATCAAATGTATCTAGTAAAAGATGTATATTATATGTGTTTTATTTCGTTTTATTTTCAAACATTGATGAATGATGGACGGATAATTAGGATATAGACTTCTTTATTGTTTAACCTATTACAGTTGAACCTGTGTAGTCTGACACACGGTCAATATACTTCACTACAATTTCCGCCACGCAGTACAGTTAAGGTGCGCAATGGAAATATCGACTAAATTTTTTATTTAAAAATGTATTCGTAATCGGGATGGCGATTATTTTTATTACATTATTTATATCGGATAATTGTAATTATGATTAATAACTACATATCGAGGACGATTATATTTTATATTTAGACTAGTCACGTGATGCGGCAGTCACGCGATTTTAGCACATTGACTTGAAGTATTGCTGTTACATATAAATATCACTAGTGCAAGGGCATAACCAGATTAAATTTCCAAGTTTATTATATAAAAAATTTCAACACGCATTGTAGTTTTTAAAAAGTGCTGCGATCCTGTCTAAATTCTGCAATTTCATTGTTAAAATTATACTTGTATGACCGAATGCTATATTTTTGCTGGTCAGCGGCACGAAATATTGATATAATTAAATTGTTTTTAAGATTTTATCAGGATCGCAGCACTTTTCAGATACCTTAATAGTTCTGTAGATGAAATATAAAAGCTTACTTTGATCCATAGAGTGTATGCCCTTGCACTAGATCGATTTATTAAGACTCCCACATTACCCGCCGATGTACTTGCATACAAATATACGGTAGTGTCAATTAAATACGTAATGTACAGAAAATATATTAATAAAATCGTAAAGAAGACATTAAATTCAAGTTATTGGCCCATAGAATATCTGTAAATAATATTTTATTTAATTAGAGAATACATATTTTGTTGAGAAAATATTACTTGATCTGTCTCTCACTGCATACAATCTACGTCACGTTGTAAGAAATGGCGTCATGTTGACAAGTTTATTGCGATCAGTGACTTGTTTATAACTTGATATGTGAGATTTAACTAACGACAAATCAACACGCTATAGTAAGTTTGTATGTAGTTTGATGATTTCTTACTGGTTAAATTAGTAGATAAATTCATTTTGTAGTATTTTAAATAGGGATGTCAAATCGGTCAATTTTTAATACTCGGTTACTCGGACGTTTTTCCGATCGAGTACCCGGGTACTCGATAAAAGTGTAAATAAATAAGAACAAGTAAATTGGTGTATGTAAAACATTGTAAACTCTAAGACTTGTAGAAATAAAACCACATGCTCTGATAGGAGGTTTACCCGCAAATGCATATAACGATGATGAGCACTTCGTGCCCGACAAAATATAATACAACACTGTTTAAAGTTCAATTATTTATCAGATAAATACAAGAAATAAAATCGTAAGTGGTTCATGGTGTTTTTGTTTCAAAAAAAAATCTGCTCCCTAATTGTAATGTAAGTCTTTGTTGCGTTTGACGTCCATGTATCAGTCGTACAGTTTTACTTGAACTTGACCAAGTTCTAAGAGCGGATAAATTTTCGATTTTCGTATACTTTTCGATCCTAGATTTTATAATATTACGGGACGGTCTTTTGTAGTTTGGTGCAACGATTGACGTCAGTTTTTAAAGCCATTGCCTTCGACCATTTGTAAATGTATTGGCATGTAATCAAACACAACTATATCAACAATCGCGCGTGTGATATCATCTGTCTCTTTTCTCGAGAATTTACGACTCCTCGGAGAACTGACAAAATTATCTAATTTATTTAATTATGACAGACCTTAAACGAAGTTCAGTGAAAACAAATAATTAAAGCAAAACAAAAAATAAGGGTAGAACATAGCCTAAGGTGAGATAAGCCAGGTTACAGGTGCTTGGTCACGATAATTACTGTATAAACACTCCCATGGGCGTTAATGGTCATTTAGAGGAGAAGGAAACCCTAATTACTGTAGGTACAAGTGCAATGAAAATTTTAAGTTTTAAAACAAATTGTTTAATGCATAAATAAAAAGTCTTAGAAATATTCAAAAATATACATCCGAGTACGAGTACCGATTTTAGTAGTCGATACTCGGACGTTCGATCGATTACCCGGTTAACCGGGTACACGTTGACATCCCTAATTTTAAAGAAATGTTGTATGACGTATATTGTGTATGATGTCATAGTCAAGTTTTCCCGTACAAATTAGGCTCCGCCTCCTTTTTGTAACCTTAACTGTGCCACACCTCCTAACCTCATTAGCATAAATCGGAAGATTTCAGAGATAAACGTAATAAAATATGAACAAAATCCGTAAACGTCCGAACAGCTTTCCTCGCGAGAATTCAACGAGACCAACATGCTACAGGTGAAAATCGAGAGAGAAATTCAACATGAAAAAAGAGGTAAAACTTTATGTTATCTCGATTTATAAGATTTGTAAATTGCAAAAAGTTGAAAAACAAACGTTTCTTTACCTGAAAAGTGAAAGTAGGTTTGCAGTTTCTAATTCTGTCAAGTGCTGTTGCACTTTAAAGTGACAAAACAGCACCTCACGATTTTGTAAACATGTTTCCACGTGGAAGGGAGTAGTTGTGATGGTCAAGATTAACCCACATTCATTGATTTAATGAACAAAAACACTCGTAAGTAGAATTTCATTTATTTTTTCGATTACCACTAGCACAAAATTGCTAAATATTTTAGGGCATGTTTGTCAAATGCTGTTAATAGCATGTCTAAAATTGAAGAGAAAATGCAGGTGTGCTATAGTTCGTTCCTACTTGTAAGGTAGTTTACTATGCATGCATATGCAGAGTTACGCGTATAAAAGTTATTATTCTTACTTATCAATACCCAGTGATTTGTGAGAACCATATGTGTTTTTTCAAATACCAAGAGACTAAAATTTAATTCTATCCGTACTCGTGTGTATGCACAAGAAGTTCTTCCGAATTTCCTCTACACATATACATGTGTACCTGGATAAAGGATTAAAGGTTTGTTTACATAATTTGTTTGCAGTTTTAATAGTGTCAGCTGTTTATATCAATCATGCAGTTTTCACTAGAGCCTTCTGATGAAAATATGGTTGTTACTTTTCTAATTTAATATCATAGAAGATGTCAATGCAGTTCTCACATACTTGTGTATATATCAGGGCAGGTATGAAACTTCACAAATGCAGTTGCGCAGTGATTAACTTAGAGCATCTGCTCTAGAGTCTGGAAGTAAGGAGTAATCCTTACGTTACTAATTCGAATCCCACTGTGGGACGTGGAGACCAGTCCTTGGATGAGACCAATAATATAAAAGGAGGCCCCATGTCGCTGTAGGTGCTGGCACAAAAAAATTCCTCCCTAGGCTCAAAGGCCCTCACCCAAAATTTGTAGCCCTCCACCGGCAAGTGGTGGCGTCTCCATATGAGTGAAAAATTTTCGAGAGGGACATTCTAAACAACATACAATCAATCACATATGCAGTTTATGAAAATTTTGAATATTTCTATGTGTACCACTATTTTCCCTTTTAAAGTATTGCCCATCTAAAAGTAGCTACTGAAATAGTATAAATAATAAAATACTAGAGGTACTGTGAGCAATGAGCTCTGACACTAAATGTTACCCCCCCCCCCCCCGCTAATTCTCAAATGAATATAATGACTGTGTACATGTTTTGCTATGGGAAACCCCAAATATGTGGTGGATCAAAAAGTAAAATAGAAGATGCACAATTGCAATATGTAATATAGATTCTGTGAAAGTCATCAAATATCACTCAGTGGTATTAGAGGAATTAGTGGATAAGAGATGGGTTCACCAAAGCAAAACAGATGGACAGACAATAATACCGATTACTTAATAATACCCTCCCGTTTTCAAGCGGGGGGTATAATAAATTACATGCATGCATGCATCAATCTGTGTAATGAAAAGATATTGCTAAAGATAATTTACATTGATGTTTTACATTTTTGTTCGTAAGAATACATGTACATGTACTAGTATTTAATTTACATATTGTTTAATTATTTCAATGTATTAAATGAAAAGTAATTTTCTTTTTTGTTTGTCTATTGCAGGTACAGCTGTAGAGTTCATTTTGAACAGCCATCCCCAGGTATGACAAAAATAACACAATTGACCCTATAAGGTTATAAATAAAGAAACATTATTGAATTTAGAAAATGTACTAATGAAGCACAAAAGTGAAATCATTGTTGGCCCAGGCTAGAAATAGTTTTCTTTCACTGCTCACTCATGCTTTTTACTGGTCAGATCATCATAATATCACTATCCCACTCCCAGGCTACTAGATTTAATAAAAAGAGACTGACCCAAGACCATAATAATAATAATCATGATAATGTAATGTAATAGTTATATTTTAATTGTTTATTTAATGTGATACGCAGTTGGACAAATAATTAATCTAAACAAAACAGGATTCCGAAATGATAGAACTTTAAAACAAGCCTGTTACTAGCCCAACTATAATTGTATTTTGTTATACATGACCCAAAAGACAGATGCCCCCTACCATGTACTATCCTAGATAAAACAAAAATCCCTGACCCCAGTCCAGTGGGCCTTCAATTATTTTTTAGCCTTGCATTGTAAAGTCAGCTATCAAGACATTCCGTCCTTTTTTGTTGT